GTTAGCGTCCGCTCTGGTGGTGCGGGGCCTTCCCTGAAGACTCCGCACGATGGCGACCGCTACCCAACGCGGCTACGACCCAGCCTCCATGGCTTGGACTTAAATTGATGTGCAACAGGTTGTTTCCACCGAACATGAACCCACCAACATCAAAGGTGGAGGCCTTTTCCAGCTCGTGACGCTACGACCAAAAGCTGCTCAGCAGAAGACGATGTTCAAGCCGACTGCCGGGAAACCCGGTGGTCCCATCTCCAACGATTGTGCTCGCACCGCACAGCCAAAAGGTAATCTGATTAAGTGGCGCCCATGCGACACTCCCAAGATGAGCGCAGATGATATTATCGTGGTGTTGAAGCCCTGTGAAACTCTTGACCTGAAGACGGCCTTCCAGACTGGAGATCTTGGTGCTGCCATTGCCCAGTTCGTTGGTGGCGAAGCTGCAGCTACCCTCAACGTTTAGCCTGTGTGGACACAGAACTTGATTGTCTGCGGGACGCAACATGTTGAGGCAGCAAACAAATTGGCCCGTGATTGGCACGCGAAAGGGCAGAATCGCTTTTACTAGGCACTCTGGATAGCGGTGATGAATCGGCCTCACTGTGCTCGGGCATGGAACCAGTGATGTATAGCCCTCTCATTAGCACCTTGGAAAGTCGCATGTCGGCTCTCAAAAAAAGTGTCACCGACCAAACGGCACCACTGCCGACATTGATTGTACAAATTATACAAGCACAAATGCAACAGCTGGTGACTACACTCACTCAGCAAATCACCGCTCCTGTGACCCTGGATCCAGGCTAGTCCTAAAATGTTTAGGCGGGCTAGTCCCGTAAAATAGGTGGGTCGGCCTTCCAAAGTTCACCACTATATTGAGGAGGAAACTATACTGAAGACGTCTCGATCGTTCCTGCCCTTCAGGCAGTGGAGAGCCAGCCAGCTTCTAATAGTGCCAATCATAGCGCCGGGACATAGGCAGAAGAGTACTAACTCAAGACAGGAACCACTGTCAGTCGTACAGTGGAATTGTAGGGGCTTCAGGGACCGCGCTAAGCGCACTCATTTTCGTCTCTACTTAGAAACGTGCCAATATGTAGCAGCTATCGTGGCTTTACAGGAACCAGGGGCTTCAGCCAAAATTGCCAAATACAATACATTTCAGCGAGATCAATCTACTGGCATCCTTGTACAAAAAGCATACACGGCACAAAAGGTAGACCTCGACCTGCAGGTAGCATATTTGTACATCATGGTCACGTGCTACCCCTGCGACGCTCTTACCCACAACTACATATATGCTTAACATCTATTGTCCACCTAAGCTAAAACATCACTTTTGCGGACATCTTCAGTCGGGCACTGAAGATAGCTGGCCGGGATCCCTTACTCATTGTTGGGGACTTCAATGCTCACAGCAGGGTGTGCGGTTACAATAAAAAGGAAGTTCGTGGTAGAAAGCTAGCGGAGTTCATTTCCACGTTAGGCATAATGTTCCCTGACTGACCCAGCACAACCAACACGTATAGGAAACTTTGTGACTCGGGACACTTGTCCAGATCTCACGCTTTCCAAACACATACAACACATTGAGTGGTACAACACCGAAGAAACGTTAGGCAGCGATCACTGCATCCTTAACACCATGATTCGCACCCGGCCCCTAAAACAGCCATCGAATCAGGCCACACTGCCAGACTGAACTGGTTTCCATAAGTCCCTGCCACGGGCTAGTCTAATCGATGACGGATATAGTTCATGGGCTCAAAATCTCATGACAACCCTCAAGAAACATAAGAAATGCATACAGATTACGCAGGACTTCCCAGCGGTAGATAATCATTTACTCCATTTCTGGGAAGCTCGCTGCAGTCTTACAAAAAGATGGAAACAACAAAACCACAACAGAACACTGAGAAGACGTATAACAAATCTGACCTAACAGGCTGCCGAATATGCCTCTCAGCTGATTCCAACTGAATCGGTCGTTGCAACAGGGCGGCCCAACAGATGTTGGGGAAGAACACATGGAAGCTTTTCCGCAGCCTAATAGATCCCGCTCAATCGCGGGGAGAAACCCAGAAACACTTGCAACGTGCTTTACACAATTTTCAGGGCACAACAACACAACTGGCAGAGGCGTTAAGGGTAAATATCTCTGCACAAAACAGAACTCTCGAGGTCAGGAATATCTCTATGCAGGCAGAGGTAACAAAGCGATGGATAAGCCTTTCCACCACTACGACTTCAAGGCGGCCTTAGCCAAAATGAAGAGAAGCACTGCCCCACCGGTCGGGACAAGGTTACAGTGAAATCTGCTGGCCGACCTCCCTTATCGCGAGTATGAGGCCCTTCTTACCTACATTAATGCGATATGGAAAGGGGAGACGCCTGTGCCACTCGATTGGAAAACACCACTTGTCACTTTCATTCCGAAAGCAGGAAAGGAAATTGATACAGACAACTTGAGACCTATCTCGCTCACATTATGCGCGGACAAACTAATGGAAGCCATGGTGCGAGATAGGCTTTCCGGTTATTTGGAAGATTGTAACACATTTGCAGACACAATGTTCGGCTTCCGTCCACACAAGTCTGCACAAGACATATTATTACAACTCAGTCATGACATATAACAACAAACAGAGCACACTCACAACGACAAGTTTGTCTTAGCATTCGATCTAAAGGGAGCCTTCGACAACATTAAACACAGCATTATATTAGCATATCTCAGTGAGACTCATTGTGGCACAAACACATTCAATTATATCAAAGATTTCTTGACGGATCGAGTCGCACACATCAAAATCCAAGACAATGTATATGGACCTTACGAATTGGGTACTAGGAGGACACCACAAGGCTCTGTGCTTTCCCCTCTACTGTTTAATCTAGCGATGGTATACCAACCAGTTCAGCTAAATGGGTGTGCAGGTGTGCAGCACGCACTGTACGCAGACATTACCATCTGGGGCACGGAAGGAAACATTGGGTATACGGAGGAAAGCCTGCAAGCAGCCGCTCACGTAGTGGATCAATACGCAGAGCCCTGAGGACTCCAGTGTGCACCAAAAAAATTGGAATTTGTGCGTCTTAGGCCATCGCCTAAGGATGCTACAAAACTGCGTATCTCTTTGGCTAGTGGCCCCATACGCGAGGCTAAGGAAATTGGAATCCTCACACTCTTCATTCACAATTAAAGGAGAATCGACACAACACTACAAAAGCTTCGCAAGTTTGGGAACCAAGTGGGCCTAATGGTCCGACCCGTCTCCAACAAGAGAGGGGGATTACGAAGCAAGCATGCTGTGCAGCTAGCTCATGCCTTCGTAATTAGCCGTATTTTATACCCGGTCCCCTATCTCTACTTGCGCAAGCATGATGCAGAGAAAGCCAAGGCAATCAACCACAAAATGATTAAGAGGGCCCTTGGCCTACCTGTCACAATTTCTAATGCGCGACTTCTCACGCTGGGAGTAGTGAACACCTTTCAGGAGCTTAAGGAAGCACACCTCACGAACCAATACACACGTCTAACACAGACAAAGACGGGACAGCAACTGCCGGACCGGCTTTACTTGAAACACGACTTTCACACTCAGGAGCTGGTTCGAGTGCCCGAAATCTGGAGACGCGCCGTAAGAGCTCGACCCCTCCCCACAAAGATGGATAGAGAAGACAATAGTGGTCATCGCCAGGCAAGGGCACACGCCTTGCAATGTCACAATGGCAATAAACACGGAGTCTTCTACCTAGATTTGGCTGGTCCTGACTACGGGGGGTGGTATACGGCAGCGGTAATTCACGAGGAAAAGCAAGTAGATAGACTCACTTTCAAAGCTCCTGGCACAACACAAGTGGAAGAGGTAGCTATTGCTCTAGCTGCCTTCGACCATCGATCTCAATGTATCATATCATATTCGCGTAGGGCATGTCGAAATTATGAAGCTGGTTGGATCACACCACTAGCGGAAAGAATTTTGCAGAACTATAGCAACCGGGGAATCGACCCTACCTCTCGTTGCCTAGTCTGGACTCCTGGCCACTACGGCCTAATGGGGAATGAAGCCGCGAACCTGTCAGTCCGAGCACTCGTTCACCAGGTATGCCGCTTAGTTCATGAGTGCCTGCAACCCGAAGACGGATATCTGCTGACATTCAAAGATATTACGATTTATTACAGGGGTCAGCATCGTCAATACCCACCTTCTGCAAAGGAACTGGGGAAGGCTAATGAACGCATCTTGCCGAGACTTTTTGCCAATACTTTATTGTGCCCGGCAATCATGCAACGTTTCGATTCCTCCTTCACTGGCAACTGCCAATACTGTGGGCAAGTGGCTGACACCTACCACATCGTTTGGGTTTGCCACCTCAACTCAGCTCTTCCCCCCGAACCCTAATCCAACCAGAGAAGAGTGGAAGGCAACCCTGCTGGGTTGCTCGAATCTTCAAGCCCAAAGGGCCCTGGTCCAGAGAGCTAGGTTATCAAGTGTCACCAATGAGGTCCCGGAATAAGGACTCCACCCACTATGCAGCCTTTAAAGGGCTGCACCTCTTCTCTCTTTTTTTTTTTAATAAATGTTTTCACTCACTCACTCACCTTGTACCTTGAGAGATTCGCGTCACGAAATTTAAGAGTAATCGTCAACGATTCGCTAAGTAGCGGGTACACAGCGGGAGCAGAAAGAGAAGACAAGCGGCGGCAATGTAGGCAAGTCCTTGTTGTGACATCAAATCACCGCGACCGTAGCGACGCCAGTGTTCGTTCTCGGGGTCAATATTGCCTAGCACAAAGTTTTCCTCATTGCAAGGAATGAGGACGCAAAACAGCACCCATTTAGGAAATACAAAGAGCACAACAATGCTTTTTTTTCCTCTCGTGCATGTTTTGATATTGCTTTTGTATTTACTTGAACGTTCACCTATCGTTCACTATGGAGTATGCCTGTTGGTGTTCTCATGCCCAGCACTGGTACAACATCACGTCACGAATGACCCACCTGGCATCCAGTGTGCTACGACAGAACAGGCGCAGGAGGAAACGCCGTGCTTGGCCCGGCTCAAAAGTGGTCGGCAAGAGACAGTAGCGGCCGCGCTGCAGGCTGCACTCGAGGAACACACCCCGGGCACGCACATACTCCGAGCTGCACACTTTGGCCTTGATCACATGCACCCGAAACTGGCGGTTCACCTCCATCTGTGTCATCAAACATGGGGCACTGTGTCGCTATTTGTAATAACCGAGTGCATAATTTCCAAATCAATCCAAAATGGCTCCTCGATGGTTGATCGGCTGTAAGGTATGGTTATTCCAGCTCACAAATCCATCTGAGGACCTCAGACAAGTAACTCAGGCCCCATTTCTTTTACGTTTATACCACGCACAATAATAGAGAACATGATTCACTTGCACCTGGCAATTTTTTTTCAGAAAGAATGATTGACTGATTTGTGGAGTTTATTGGTGCCAAGGTCCAGATGTGGTCAAAGAGCACCAGAGCAATGATAATGAACTGTGCGTTATGCAGTGTGGGTAAAACAGATGTGACGTGGCTGTAAATGGGCCTAAAAACAGTCGCTGTAGGTGCGTAAAATATACATAGAGTAAAATTTTGGCAATGACAAATGATGTGTGCTATGGAGACATAAAATTCATTAAAGATGACACGTATATGAAATAAAAACTTGGCATGGAGCACTAGTGCCTCGGCAGAGCCCTTAAAGCAAGGGCAAGGAGGCCTGGCCTCATTGAAAGCTGCGATCACAGCAGCATCTTCTGGACAGAGGATGCGCTATAAACTTGTTGAGCTAAAAACATTCAATACTGCATCTTATAGAAAGCCAAGGACTGATTTTGCGTCAAAAAGCAGCTTTTCGCCGAGAAACATAATAGGATGTAGACGAAGATGATAGCGGTATGCTAAAAGAAAATATTTCTTTCTCTCTTTTTGAGCTTCCAGACACTTAAGGACGTGGAGGACGGTTAGCCTCTTGCCACATCTACCACAAGTAGGAGGTTCATCGCCAGTCAGCAGAAAGCTATGGGTACCATATGAGTGTCCTATTCCGAGGCGACAGAATAGGACATCAGTTCGCCGTGTCCTCGTAGCGGAGGACCAGTAACCTAACTGCGGCTCAATCAAGCTTATTATTTATTTCTGTGTCCCACAAGCGCTGCCAGTGGCTTCACAGTTTCTTACGTAGGAAGGGTTTTAGATCTCTTGCAAGGACAGTAGCGGTAGGATTAATAGCGAGCAATATAATTGACGTGGCCATTTGGTCAGCTAAAACATTGCCCTCGATGCTTCTATGGCCAGGTACCCAACAAATAGCAACATGCTGGTTGGACATATACGCTGTATACAGAACAGAATACAACTCGATTATTACCGAATTTCTGAATCTGAAAAGTGATCTTGATGCATTTACAACACTTAATGAGTCTGTAAGTAGAATTGATTTTTGTATGTTTGATTTCCGTATATGCTTCACAGCCGACAACAGTGCATAACCCTCAGCCATAAAGATACTTGTTTCCGGGTGCAGTACACCGGATTCCGAGAAGGATGGTCTGATGGCTGCATAAGCCACCCCTGCATGCGACTTAGAACCGTCGGTATAAAACTCTTTGCATGAGTAGTTGGACTGGGGTTATCGGAAATGCATTTTAATATGTGCTTCTGGTGCGAGTTTAGTGGTCTCGCAAATGAGGTGTCACTGAATTAGCTGCCACTGCCACGGCAGTAAAAGTTTCGCTGTGGGCATAGGACAAAGTTCTAGCAGTGAAACACCCATTTCCTCACTTAAGTTTCTTACACCCAAAGAAAACGGCTTTCTCGCAGCGGGTTGATTATGGAAGAGGGTGGCAGCGGTCATAGCCTTTATAGTTGAATAAGAAGGATGCTTGATGTTTGCGCGTACCTTTATAAATTATGTGAAACTGTTATAGGATCGCTGCAGGCGAAGTGACCGCTGATTTGACTCTACATAGAGGCTCTGGATCGGACTTGTCCTGAAAGCACTGGTTGCAAGTTGAATACCCAGATGGTGAATGGGGTCTAGGATTTTTAATGCACTTGGCGTTGCCTGAATGATAAATTATAGAGGCATGATCAAGGCGCGACCAGACAAGGCTTTTGTACAACTTCAAGAGGCACTTTCGATCACTACCTTATGTTGTACGTGATAGAAGCTTTAGGACATTCATCACTTTAAGACATTTCATTTTATTTAATATGGGGAATAAACGCAAGGCTAGAATCTAAAGTGGTTCCCAGGAATTTATGCTCGCTGCTTACAGAGAGTTGGTCTCCCTTGATCGCAACACATGGTAGTGGCATTACCCCTCGTTTGTTGGAGAAAAGTATGCAAGTAATTTTCTCGGTGTTTATTTTAAAACCATTTTTATCCACCCATTTAGAGAATTTATTCATTCCAAGCTGCACTTGTCGTTCGCAGATAGACATAATGCATGACTTGAAACTCATGTGAACATCATCAACATACACGGAATAAAACATCGTGCTTGGAATTACTGACTGAAGGGAGTTCATTTTTACAAGGAAGAGTGTGCAACTAAGCACGCCCCCTTGCGGAACACCAGTCTCTTGGGTAAATGATCTAGAGAGAGCATTTCCCACTTTTACGCGAAAGGTTCGATTATACAGATAGCTTTCAATTGTGTTTAACATGTTCCCATGGATGCCCATGGCGGCAAGATCGCGTAGAATCCCGAATCGCCATGTGGTATCGTATGCTTTCTCTAGGTCTAGGAATACCGAAAGTACAAACTGCCTATGAATAAATGCATCTCTGATGTATGTCTCTATGCGAACAAGGTGGCCTATTGTCAACCTCCCCTCTCTGAAACCACACTGAAGGGGGTCTAGTATATACTGTTACTTTCTAGAAAGTGAATTTAGCGCCGATTTAACATTTTCTCATTTAGTTTGCATAGACAGCTTGTTAACGCTACTGGCCTGTAGCTGGCGGCCAAGGATGGGTCTTTGCCTTGTTTAAGTACCGGGATGACTATCGCTTTTTTTCAGGACAATGGAATATAGCCAGCTTCCCACATGATATTGAAGAGGGTTAGGAGTGTTTTTAGTGCTTCGGGGTGAAGGTACTTGATAATTTCGTACATTATACGATCGACTCCTGGCGCCGAGTTGTTGCAGCATGCAAGAGATGTCCTTAAGCTCAGCAAATGTAAATGGGCGGTTGTAAGTCTCTCTGGATGAACGCTTAGATTTAAGGGGCTGCCACTCTTCGCGTTCTTTGAATTTTAAGAACGTTTCTGTATAGTTCTATGCACTTGAGACACATTCAAAGTGTTCACCTAGGCAGTCCGCCTGCTCCTCCAGGCTCTCACCTCGGCTACTTACCAAGGGTAGGGGATGCGACTCCCGACCCATTAACTTGTTTACCCTGTTCCAAACATTCGCTTGGTCAGTGTAAAAATTTATACCTGAGATGTACCTATTCCAACTTTCTTTCTTTGCGAGACGACGCGTTCTCCTGGCTTGTGACAACCTGTTTGAAATTGACGAGGTTTTCAGCCGTTGGGTAATTTCGGAGTAATCTCCACGCTTTATTTTGACTAGTGCGCTTCCCAACAATCGTTGTTCCACCATGGGATGCGACGCTTATTAGTCATTCCATTAGTTTGCTTAATACATTTCACTGCAGCGTCAATAATAAAACCTGTTAGGTATGCCACAGCATCGTCTATATTAAAACCAGCAATGTCATCTACGCCTAAAGATGTGCTTTCTCGGAACAGTTCCCAGTTGGCTGACTTGGTGTTCCAACAAGAAAAGTCAGGCGAGCACGTATCTCCTTTTGTTAACTTCAACATAATCGGGAAGTGGTCACTCCCAAAGGGGTTTATGAGAACGGACCACTCCAGATATGAAATAAGTGTACTCGAGACAATACTTAGGCCTATAGAAGAGTATGTGTTGTGCGTAGTGCTATAATATGTTGATTATTTTTTGTTAAGTAAACATGCATCTGACGAAAACAGAAAGTGTTCTATTAGGCGTCCTCGTGCACCCAAATGGGAGTCGCCCCATAGAGGATTATGTGCATTTAGATCACCAACGACTATATATGGCGGAGGCAGTTCATCAATGAAGCTTTGAAATTGTATCTTCGAAAGTTGATAGCACGGGGGAATGTAAATAGAAGTAATTGTTAGTAGTTTCTCGAACAGCACTGCTCGGACAGCAACTGCCTCAAGAGAAGTTCGGAGGTTTAACTGCTTACAGGCACCCCCTTTATCAACTATTATAGCAACACCGCCCTACGAGGTGGCAGCGTTGTTACGGTCTTTGCGGAAGATGGCATATTTCTTTAGAAAGTTTGTGTGGACTTGAGATGTGTTTCCTGAACATACAGCACCTTTGGAGTATGTTTATTTTTTCTAATATCAATGTTACGGAGAAGTCCTCTCACATTCCACTATAAGATCTGTGAGTCCATTTTAGATGTGTTTTGTGCTGTGTGCTCAAGGATGGAAAATTAGCTCACGGACGCGTTTGGTGTGTAGCTCCGTGGTGTCGCTACACACCAAACGCCTGCTTGCACAGACGGGGTTTTTCAGAAAGCAATATTCACACTTGCGCAGGCTTACACTCAAGAAGTTTAACTAAGTATCTCAATGTCTCATCACGCTGCACAGATAACCGATTGCACCTTTCTCAATATGGCTCTCCTGCTCTAGAAATCAAGCCTTTTAAAATGTGACCCCAAAATACCAGGCTGGATACGTTCGCGTTCTTCAGTCGAAGCACACGAAGAGTGTGTGTGGACCTTGAGCACTATTTTTTCAAACACGTGACCTACTTTCAGGGTAATTGCGAGTAAATGCACATGGGCACAAGGGGGCCTCTTGCAGCACCCATGTCAACAATGCAGCACACAATGCTTAAAGAAACCACTGAAGGAAAATAACAATTTAAGTCAGAGTGAAAGCTCGATGTATGGCACTGTCTAAAACGACAATATTATCAACAGCAGTGCCCTACTTACTGAGAAACTAATGTAAATGCACGAGAACACATGTGCTGCGAGTAGAACGTCCGCAATATGATCCTGACAAGGTCAGACTTATCGCCTAAAATTAATCACTATTAATGTAACTTGCTTCACTAAATAAAGAACATTCCGAGCATAAAGAGACGTAACAAAATGCTGCTTGTTCGCTTCTGTTTAATTGTAAAAAGAACTACTTAACCTTACTATGAAAAATGGCGCGAGTGGTTAAAAAGTTCAGTTTTCGCCTGGTTAAACTAGACAGGCCACATCATCTAGCGGGGTCCAGTCGAACCAAGCAAGCCTGCCATCTTGGAGACCAAGGCAGGAAATTATTCAATGGCCGTTGTTGCTGCTGTGGCTCACGCTATTTTCGCTCTGCTGATTTTGGTGTCAGCAACAGCGCAGTAAAGCAAGACAATGTTGTGCACGGCAACAGTGACAAAGATTTTCTCTTGAGTTGGGTAATTTGAAATGTGCTAACGCGATATGGACAACAAAAATGCAATTTTATTTCAAAATAAGCATTTCCTTGGTACAAAAGTACCACTATGAGGTTTCTAGACCACTATTCGAGCAATCAACAACGACTTAATATTTGCCTTTAGTGTCCCTTTAAATAAACTAATGAGCATAGACTTTGGGCATATGGCGCAATAATAATAATATCTAAGGTTTACATCCCAAAACCACGATATAATTCATGAGGGATGCTGTAGTGAAGGGCGCCGTAAGCTTTACTGAAGTGCGATTCTTTTGGCCAGGATCAAACCCCCGACTTTCGGTTCAGCAGCTGAGCTTCATAGCCGCTATACCACTGTGGCAGATGGATATACGACGCAGTAATTTAGGTATATGGCACTATCTTTAGAGAAACGAGGGAGCAATTTATATCTGAATTTGAGGCTGCACACTGTGCAATAACGTTTAGCTTGCACATTCTCAAAAGCCTCGACTACAACTTGGCAGCGTTCTTTGACCATGCTAAAAAAAGTGTTGCAGAGCTTCTGCTAAGATTTTTGTTTTCACTGGACTAACCATCGCCGCAGGTTCTCAGACGTGGATTTTTTTGTTGCTTTCTTAGCACCGTGAATCTTATAAGAAAGCAATCACAGGGACCCATATGGGTGTCAAAATGTCACAAAATTTTGTGAGTTCCTTTGTTTTCTAAGGCAATTGGGTTGATTTACTTTTGACAAGAAAAAATAAAGCCTTTTCATTTTTTGCTTCATAAGATTAAATTTTACAAGACTCCCTCCCATGGTTCGGCAGATGATATGTGCGGAGAACACTATGGAAACAAGATAGGCTTCCCTGGTGGATACTAGACTACAAAAGCAAACGTGTGCAGAATCTGAGAGTATGCGAGCGAATGAGAATGTATAAATAGACATTTTCTATGTCTTCGCACGGTAGCACTTGCAAAGGCCATTGTGGATTCTATTAAACTGCCCATCAACATTTTGGTACAGAATTTTCCTCCAGTATTTTCTTCACCTGCATGATGTGCATGCCAATGGCGAAGTGCCCCGTAGATCCCTCCGCGCTTGAGCTGTCCTGTAGCAGGTAGGCCAGCACAGCCACCGTTCCGTCTTCCACCACGTCCAAGCGATACTGCGTGACAACACCCACAGTACTGCTGAGCTCAAACCAATCGATGTTGGATTCAATCGAAGAAATAGTATGAAAGGACTTTTTTTTTTCCAAGCTCACACCGCCTAGCAGGAGCTAGGCAAACAGCCCGGATTAAAGCGCGCTGGTACATATTGCTACCGTCTGCTACAGCACTGCACTTGAATGACTGCTGTGACAGACACAAGCTTCATGAAGTGTTTTCTTCTTTTTCTAAGAGAGCAGTTGGTGTGCAAGCATTCAAATTTCTTCCAGTGCATTTTAATGCTCAATGATTGTGCCTAAAGGCTCGGAACATTGAGTCCACAGTTTCTCACTTCAATACTGAAAGCATGTCACAGGGACAGGCATCAGTCTGTCTAAGATATATTTAAAACCTAAAGACACTCCATTCTTGCTGAAATACAGTATAACCTTGTAACAAAGTATCTGCTTACAACACACATTCTGATTGCATAACATTTTGTGGTGTTATAACGATTTTTCTTTCTTCCCCTTGCTGAACTTTATATGCAGTAGATTCTGTCACAGAACACATTCCGATATAAATCAAGGGGTACCAACACGAAACCTTATGGCTGAGATACCCCGAGGGACTGATTTCTGTGAACATGCATATATCATCTACCAAATCTTAACGATATAGCTTGCAAAGTAATTATATGAATTTTGAAGCCTGCACGCGCAATCCAGTGCTATACGCCACACCTCATGACATTGACATTATCTAAGGTGACAACTTTTTGCACGCTACGAAAAAACATAATTGACGAAGAAGAACGACCTGGAATATAGAGTTTTCAACAGTACTTACTAGAAAGAACTCTGGCGCTAGTGTTCATAGAAGCTGCAACACACAGCACTTCAGTCAGCATGGAAATGATGCATAGTACACAGATTTGCCTAATCTTTGTTCTTTCAGCTCTGTACGGCTCCATGGGCCTGAATCCACGTTGCCACAAGACTAAGTTCAGCAAAAGTTTAGCATTTACGCTCACCACTTTGACCTTTTCATGCTCACTGATTAAAATCTGCAAACGAAGTCCATTTTTTTATTCGAAGAAAAGCCAAAACACAGCCATAAACGAAGCCACAAATGCCTTTGAAGCCAGCAAGCATGAAGACTAGGCAAATCTATCTACTACCCATAATTACTATGATTGCTGAACGATCGCAGGGCCAGAGTGTCTTCTAGTTAATTATAGGATACTCTACGCACAGCACATGCTGATTTCGTTTTCTTGTCATGCAGAAAAGTTTACACTTTGTGCCCCCAATTGGCCCCTACCCTGGCTCTTCTAAGGTGACCTGAAAGTGACCCCCAACTTTTGAGACTTCACCACTGCGACCGAGCTCTAAGCAGATGCAGCTCGTAGCATGATGCCATAGCTACCATTGCACCTCTGCCACACTTGCACCACCAGGCTGCTATATGGCAGTCACCGACTTCCCAAATTGCTTCGCAAGGCCGTGCCTGTGGCTAACGTGGAGAAAGCGTGGAAGCCTGAAAAAGTCATTGCCACCTTACATCATCACCATCATCAGCCTGATTATGGCCACTGCAGAACAAAGGCCTCTCCCATCATCTGCTAATCAACCCAATCTTGTGCTTTCTGTTGCCATGTTATGCCTGCAAACTTTTTATTCTCATCGGCCCACCTATCTTTCTGTCTCCTCTTCGTGCATTTTCCTTCTCTGGGGATCCAGTCAGTCACCCTTGATGACCAGCAATTATCCTACCTGCATGCTACATGCACGGCCTATGTCCATTTCTTCTTCTTGATTTCAACTATGAAACCCGGTTCGTTCCCTGATCCACTCTGCTCTCTTTTTGTCTCCTAAGGTTACACTTATCATTTTCCTTTCCATTGATTGCTGCGTCATCGTCAATTTAAGCTGAACCCTCTTTGTAAGCCTCCAGGTTTCTGCTCTCTAGGCAAGTACTGGCAAAATGCAGCTCTTATATACCTATCTCTTGAGGGTTAGAGGCAGATTACCATTCATGATTTGAGAATGCTTGCCGAACGTAATCTACCTCACCTTTATTCTTCTAGTTATTTCACTCTCATGACTTGGCTTTGCGGTTGCTACCTGTATTAAGAATACAAATTCCTTTGCAACTGCCAGCGTCTCTCCCCCTCTCGCAAAGTGGTGTTTTGTACTGAGACTGTTGCACATTACTCTAGTGTTGTGCATATTTTCAGGCCTACTCTTCTGCTTTCATTGTCTAGTTCAGAAATAATGAGCTGTAATTCGTCCCCTGAGTTACTAATCAAGGCAATATCGTCAACAAATCGCAGGGTAGTAAGATACTCTACATTAACTCTTATCCCTAACTTTTCCCGATCTATGGCCCTGAAAACCTCCTGTAAACACGCGGTGAATAGGATTGGAGAGATCGCGTCTCCCTGCCTTACGCCTTTTATTATTAGGATTCTGTCGCTTTCTTTATGGAGAACAAAGGTGGCTGTGGATCCACTGAAGATCTTTTCCAGTATGTTTATGTAGGCTTCCTTGATGCCTTGATTTGCAGTGCCTGCATCGCTGCTGATCTCTCGACTGAGTCAAATGCCTTCTCATAATCTATGAAAGCTCTGTATAAGGGTTGGTTGTATTCCGTGCATTTCTTTATTACCTGATTGTTAGTAACATGGTCTATTGTGGAGTAGCCTGTACAAAATCCTGCTTTGTCCTTTGGTTGATTGAACTCTAATGCCACCTTAATTCTATTAGCTATTCTTTTTGTAAGTAGTCTATAGAGAACGAACAGTAAACTGATGGGCCTGTAATTTTTCAAGTGCTTGACGTCTCCTTTCTTATGGATTAAGATGATGTTGGCGTTCTTCCAAGATTCTGGTACCCTTCCTGTCAAGAGACACTTGGTATATAAGGTGGCCACTGGCCACTTTTTTTAACACAACTTCTCCACCATCTTTCAGGAGGTCCGTTGCTACCTTATCCTCACCAGCTAGCCAGCGGCTTTGCTTCTTTGCATTCCTTCTAGAGCCTTCCTTTTTTTCCCCCATACAAAGGTGAATAATTAAAGACAACAGTGAAGGCAATGACATTGTATGGCACATGCGGCAGCAAAAGAACAATAACAAAAAGACCACCTCCAAAACACTCGATACAGATTGCTAACCAGCAAAGCTAAACCATGCAGCCCTAGTGCTGATTACTGGGTGAATCTCTACAGTTTTGAATAACTGGTTATGTCTGTCCGGAAAAGTTAAAAGGTGTTTCCCGCCCATGTGTTCCCTTCTCCACTCTTGGTGGACCAGTGACTAGTACTATACAGTCGACTCCCGGTTAACCTCCCTGCTTTCCACTTCACCTTCTCCTCTCTCTTTATACACTAGAATCTCAGTAAATGGATATCTCTTAAACGAAACAACTGCCTCTAACACGAATGGTGCCCTGCTTGTATTTTGCAGCCTTATTCATCTCTTAGTAAGTGCAACTCTTATTAAATGAAACATATTGTCACGGGTATAGAAAGGTACCTCAGGCACACGTGCAGAAACAACGCAGACGGAATGAAGACGATGATGTTGTTTTGGGGCTGTGTCTGAACTGCTCTCTTGTCCTGCATATCTTGCATATTGTATGCAGTGTTAGCCCACCCGGCGTTCACTTATTAAATACTCCCCGTTACATATTTTTGGTGGAAAAGCTGGGTAACATTCCGACTCTGAATCTCCAAAGCAGATGTCAGCTTCGCCCAGCCACGGTGCCTGACGGCAGTGTGCCGTTTGTTCAAGCTACGCCTGCTCCGTCACCCGTGATCCCTTTCTACATTCTCGAGCCAGGTACATTTTGCGACACCAACACAATTGACGCCGACGAGTGGGTGGCCTTATACCAGCGCGTCAGCAAGCAATACAAGTGGAATGAGCCACTTATGCTGGCCAACATCATCCTTTACCTGTGAGGTACTGCATGCGCCTGGTACGAGACGCACGAGCGAGACCTGACGACTTGGGACGTGTGCAAGCAGAAGCTTCGCGACTTGTTTGGATGCTCAGTAGCTTGACAAATGGCAGCCAAACAGGAACTCGCGTCACAACTTCAATCTTCCACCAAGTCGTACGTCACCTATATCTAAGACGTGCTCACCTTGTGTCGGAAGGCCGACAAAGACATGACCGAACTGGACAAGGTCGGCAATGTGTTGAAGGCCATAGCCGACGATGCCTTCAACATTCTGATATGCAAGAACTGTACCACCATTGACTGAATTGCCAGTGAATGTCGGCGGTTCGAACAAGCCAAAAGCAGGAGAATCACTCAACCTTTTTCCCGACTCCCGAACATTGCTGCGACTTCTTCCAGCGAGGATCCTGGGGCCCCACGTTCATTCGTGAATCCTCCAAACATCACAAGAATTGTTTGCCAGGAGCTGGAAGCCATGGCTCCTTCCGCTTATCAACCCCCTGTGCCTGACAACTCGGCCCCAATATCTCTTAATCAGGCTGTTGTGCGACAAGAGTTTGCCAACATAGGCGTCTTAGTTCCCCAAAACTCAAGCCACACACCGCATTCCATAAATCCTAACGCTTACTACCACGCCGCCCCACTTGTTGCTGCTGCCGCGTCAATCGGTTCTCATCGCGCTACCGAAATCCATCTGAGTGGCGCACACAAGATGATCGACCGATATGCTTCTCTTGCCATCGCGTTGGCCACATTTCCCGCCACTTTCGCAACAGATCGTCTTTCGGGCAACGTTTTCTAGACGACCACCGACAGGATCGTGACCAGTATTCGCCACCTCCTTTTGCTGATTACCACCTTCAGGACCTTCGCAGTATTCGCCACCTCGTTTTAACGATTACCACCTTCAGGACCTTCCACCTAGCCGTTCTACGCTACGCTCCGAACCATCCTACGCTGATGTCGTCATCCAGGGAACCCGGTCCAGCCGCTCGCCGTCACCTCAGGGTCGCCAGCCCAGCTCCTATTAACGCCGTCGCTCCCCGTCA